TACTCTAATCAGTTCAACATGTTTATGTCTTTTAGAAGTAGAATGGCCAGTTGGATTTGAATTTTTTTTTCTTTCAATTATCATTTATTTTTTTCTTTTGTGTAAACACAATGTTGTATAGTCTCAGTGTGAGTAATATTGTCACCTGAAAAATGAAATTTTTGTGCCTTCAAAAACTTTCATCTGAAGAAGCATTATCACATTGTTTCTCCTGCTCTGGACATCTTTATTTCTCTTTTTTTTGATGTATTCCTTGAAATCTCTACCTGTTCTACCTTTTTTCAAGATAATGTTCATGTCCTAGCATTGGTCCATAACACACTTTGTGGTGGTCTTTTCTGGATTGGAGGTTTTAACTTTTAACATGGATGTCCTGTTTAATTATTAGTGCTCCTTTGTGCCACCAAATCACAATTAGGAATCTAGCAAGAGGGGTGAAAACCGTACGGAAACGGACGAAAACCACCTTTATCGTTTTCGTTTTCATACGTTTTTCAGAATCGGAAACCCCGGATACGAAAACGGAATTGAATATTATCGAAACCGAAAATGAAGCGAAAACGAACCATTGCGAATACGGTAACGAAAATTTATCGGAATACAAAAACCCCTCAAACTGATAAATCCAATTCTCAAGTCTCAACGGTCAACAATTCATCATAAAACATAATTATACAAGTCCAATTGTTAAGTCTCAACAGTATATCACAAAGCACAATCTATGGAATAAATTATCTATGTTTAAGAGAGAAATGTCATTGATAAATCCCAATGCAGGAAATAAATATTCTTATGTAACTTCAGATTTGAATAACAAATATTTTTTAAAAAATAACAGCCAAACACCATGGTATTCACTGTTCAGTGCTTAAAAAAGAATCCAGGGTATTTCAATCACAAAATTTCTGGAAAGTTTTCGGCCGATTCCGAGTTCAGACGAAAACTGCCCTTATCATTTTCGATTCCGTTTTCGAGAAAATATTTCCGAATTCGTTTCCGTTTCCAAAAAATTCCGACCGACAGATTCTGTTTTCGAAAATAGGTTCGGAATCCGGAAAGTTTTCGTACCATTTTCACCCCCTACCTAGCAATGATTTATTTGGTGCATGCCTTTTAGAGCCCACATATCCTAATTTACTGTGTGTATAGGGTTAATTTGATCTATGCCATTGCAAATATGTCTATTCAAATAAATGATGTAATTCGTCTGTTTATAGCTGTGCCACTCAAATATTAACCAACTGGGCCTTACATACTTCATACTTCATTCATGAAATCCAACGGACGAAAATCATCTAATCTAACGCCTCAGATCGTCCCACATACCCCCTTCAACCTCCGCACGTATTCCCTCGCCGAAAATCATGCCGCTCACATCGCTCCTCCTCCCCCACGCGCTCCGCAACCTGCGCCATCACCTCCCATGCCACCACTAGCGCCGCCCCACTCCCCGGGGCAAACCTAATCGCCGCCGCCACCTACTCCTCTCTCCCCTGCCGTCTCAAGCTCCACCCCCTTGCTCCTCTTGCGCCACCACTGGATCACTCTCCACCCCGGAGGCACCGCGGGTGATGGCGACGCGGCGGCGGTGCCAGACCGCCGTGGCTCCTCTCTGCTCTGCCCCTTCCTTGTGCCTCACCACCTTGCTGTTGAAAGGAAGAAGGAAGTTGCAACCACTGGTGTCAGCGACGTCGACTAAACCCTAGAACCAAGCTCCAGAATCGATCTCCTTTTGCTTACCGGTAATGGGTGAGCCAATTCCGAGCCTACAGGTACGGACTACTTCCTCCCTCTCTCCCCGACAATCACGACATCGATTGATTTATCCCATTGCTCCTGTGAACTTGGTGCATTGTTTGATTCCCAATTTCAGAATGGCGTGTGAAATTGCAAGTACAGAGCGAGCCCAGTCAGTCATCTCCTCACCAGCACGGCGGTACGAGAAGTTTGGGCACAACAAGCAAGCAGGAGGCTAGCAAAGGTTTGTCAGCTCTAATCCAAAAAACAACACCTTATTGCACATATGTTCCATGTATGTGAAAGACCATATCTACTGTGCAGACAACATGTGTTATTATCCTATCGTCAAATCTGATATACAAACTATATTGATATTTCGAGTGACTGAATAATCATATTATCGGTATAGGTTAGTTCTTTTACTCTTCTTTCCTGGTCATATTATCGGTAGGATGAGGGTATATTGGTTGGAGTTGCTGGCATTTTCAATGGCTTAAAAAGTGATGTTCAGGGTTTTTTTTCCTTGGCAGAAGAATTTGCTAAGAGGCTTTGATGAGGTGAGCTATCCACTATAAAAATAATTTTGTTTCTTTTTTGTACTGAAAGTGCCTCATTCCTTGTGTTTTCTCATTTCCTGTGGATCTGCAGGTCAGGGATTTTGTTGCAGATCAGATGTCTTTGAGGGTATCACATTTCATGCTGACCGACTGCATGAGCAGTACATCAATTTTCAGCTACAGTGCCACTCTACATATATACTCCCTCCGTCCCTAAATATAAGGGATTTTAATTATTACAACAAATCTGGACAAGCTTCCCATCCAGATTCGTTGTACTAGAATGTGTCATATCCAACCAAAATCCGTTATATTTAGGGACGGAAGGAGTATTCTTTACTATTGGTTATGACACTCATAGGCTTTTATTTCTATAGAAGTTGATGAGTGTGAAATTCTTCTGATATGGCAGGAAAAACTGCAATTTGTTGGCCATGTAGTTCTTGCTTAAGTACTTACTAAACAACTTCTGCAAAGACATCTTTTTTTTATGGCAGACTAGGAGACTTGTCTATTCTCAATCAATTATATAGGTTCACATACACTTGTACTCAAATTCGTGGCATTCCAAGGTTAAAGGTGCTGATTAGTGGTCGTATCATGAGGTCGAGAAACATGTAGTTATTGCGATGTATAGATACATCATAAATCTGAGTAAATCGTTAAGCAATATACATTCTCCATTATTTAATTATTGCAATTGTTAATTATGCTTAAAAACATAATGTTAATCATGCTCAACCGTAATGCTGGCAACTAAAAATATTACCTAGATTGACAGTAGTACAGTTGAACATTTGAACAATACCTAGACTGACAGTAGTACAGTTTGGGTGGTGAAGGTCTCATTGCTCACTGATGGCTTTCTAAATCCCCTATGCCGCCGTAAGCCTGATTATCGTAGTATATTATTTCTTTGAGGTGTTATAGGTGATATGAATGGGCATGTACACTGTTATGGCCGGAATAAAACCTAGGTTTGATGCCCATTTACATATGAAGAACACACGAATTAATTTGATCAGTTATTATGCTTTATTCTGCTTGTTTCTATGCACTACAATGCCAATTTGAGTGCCTATCTTGTCATGCTATTCAGTGTAATGTCTTGGCAGGCTATGAATCTGTTCATGCGTCTATATGCAGCCTTCATATAAGTAAGGATTAACCAGATTACTTGCTTTGTCTAATGCAGCCTCACCATTTCATTTGTGGTGAGCACCTTAATTCCATCTTGACATTGTCGAGGGAGTATATCATCTACATCTAATTCTGTATATTGAGTATATATTGACTAGGATCTTGGAATTTTTATATTAAGTTTCTTAGTTTGATGATTTGATTAGTTTTTCAACTAATCACCATTGATCACAAGTAAACACCACTAATAGAAGTTTAATGGCTATTTATCTAAAAAGGAAAAAACTAAGTTTAATGATTGAAACTGCAGTGGTACTATGATCTATAAACAAATAAATCTGCTGAGTTTCCTAGCAGCTGCTGGGTGCACTTTCCTCTTGTTGTGTCTTCCATTAAATTTCAAAACTGCAAATTCTTTGTATAGGTATTACGGGGACTCAAATGTACACCTTTCAGTTCACACTCAATTCTGTATAACAGTAAAAGCGTGAAAATATAGGAAAGATAATTGATTTGTTCAGAAAATTATTCAAATGCTAAGGTAATCACTTTCTCAACATATGTATATGTACAACAATGCATACCGTTTCTACTTTTCACAGTTGGAACCTGAAATATCAAGATTCTAAAACTAATGTGTGTCTGCTGCACAGTTCTTAAAACAATGCTATGGAGTATTCTATGACTAATATGTGTGTACTGTACAGTTCTGAAGATTGTTCAAAGTGTGGGGAACTTCCGAGGGAAAGTTCGTCAAAAAACTGCAGGTTACCAGTGTTTTGGTGGACATTCACATATTTATGCAATTTGATATGCTAAATGAATTTACTACTAATACATTACATCAATCTTCTGGTTGTAACTGGTTCAGTGGACCATTAGAGCTTTCTGTTGACAAATTAAATGAGCTTTGTTCATTTATCCAACAACTTGTTTTCTTTTTCTGAATCTTGCTCCAAATTTTGTGTCATATTATTGACTATTATTTTTTAAAACCATACAAATAATTTGGTAGATTTTTTCCCTTTTCGCTGGACAACCAGAACTGCATTCAATTGTATGATTTGTATCTTAGTCCTTTGCAGGTAAGGTATCGAGAAAATATCATAATGGAAACAGAGGAAGTGATGTAATTCTGGACCTTAATTGTGAACCTTAATATATACATAACTAGTTGATTCCCCGCGCGTTGCTGCGGAAATTGGTTGGAGGCAACAAAATACAAAGGTTATATTTGAAAAGAAAATAAAAGAGGCTTGTACAAAGATTATCAAACTTTTAGAGTGGACCAATAGGCCAATATTTTGTTTACATGACATTGTTTCTTTACATAGGGCAATATTTGGAGTACCAGTGATGAGAAAATACGAATTAATTAAATCAAGAAAATTATGGTGATCTATAAAGATAGTCCCAAAAACTTTGTATGAAGGAAAAAACAATTTCATTTTTATAAAAAAGGAAACATAGATTATAATGCACCCGATACAGAAAGTCTACTCCAATATTAATGTAAGTAAGACAAACAAAGTTGTGCATGTACGCACATCTTTATTGAATGAATGTCGGTCAGCAAAAAAAGTGAATTTTATTTCTCAAGATGATAATTTCTTTGTAAGCCTAATACTTTAGTGCATTATATCTGTGTAATTATGCTACATCCCTAAATTCTGCATACCAACCTTGATTGCATATATCTTGAATTGACAACAGAATTGTTTGCATACCTGTGTACATGTCAAGTCTTGGCATCTCAGTGAGCAGTGCTTGAAAATAAATTATGACTAACAGCAAAACACTACTTGATTAGGTTCCAAAGTAAACCAAATCATCGGTACATATGTAGAATGCAAGTAAAGCATACCTGGGAGTCAAATCTGGTATGCCTTGAAATAGGCAAATAGCACAAAATTCCTGGGTATCAAATCCCGCTTGAAGTTCGTTTACAGATAAATATGGCAAATTGTAAGTAAAAGAATATTTTTATCTGGTTCTTGGAATTATTGTCAGGCCTTTGGATTTCTGATATAAGTATAAAAATTTTCAATACAGAATGCCTTACTGGAGTAGCAGGTCAGGACTAACTTTGAACCCATCATGATTCATGATTCATGAACTGAATGATGGATTTATACATCACTCAATAGTTTGCAATATTGAACACACACCTGTGTACATTTGTATCAGGTAAATATGAAATAGAAGTGAATATCCACTTACAGAAGAGAGATTAGAAGTATGTATTAGCGGCAGTTTGCTCTAAAAGGTTATAAAAATAAATGGGGACATTGGAATAGGAATAGTCATATACTTGTATTCCTGTACACGGCTATACGATGAATCACTGAATATAATCGATAGCCACTAAAAAAATTGAACACCAGACCATTTGAGCAAGGCCATTCAAATTCCATACCAGCAGCAAAACTATAGCGTAGAAAGTCTCACATGAAAGATCTTGTCCAACATTTCATTCAACAACATAAGTACCTATAACTTGGCAGAGATAGTTATATCCTGTTAAAGAAGCAGAGAATTGCTCCTAGGAAAAGAAGCAGGAGAAGAGAATAATCAGGAAACAGGAAAACATCAAAATTAACAGAAGTGCATTACCTAATGTATTGCTGCCGGTTAGAAGGATTGGATAACAAAGGAAAAATGAATCCGCAGAAAAAATAAATTGGGATTAGGCTGACATAAAAACGAAATAGGTGCGGCAAAAAGGTATGCAAAATAGCAACAGGCAGATGAGCTGATTGCCTGAATCAAATAGAGAAAAAAAAAAGAAAGAGTAAATCAGCAAGTGCTCCTTGCGTGCTATAGGGCCATGGATGCTGAAGCTTGGTTCTGGCTATGGATGTTGAATAGTGGTTCGTAGGCAACTGGCGATTTGGATCTTATAGATGGGAAGAGAGACGGCAATGTGCAGTAAAGATGAGAAGCGAGAAGGATGATACCAAAGGACGTAAGAAGGGAATATGAGGCATCACGGGAGAGACGGGACGGTGCAGTGACAAGGAAGGCGATGCGGCCAGGGGCCAGTGCTGGAAGGGGGAAGGCGAAGCGTGAAGCGGAGGCCACGCAGCGTGGCTGGTGCATGGGGGATGGGGGAGGCAGTGCGATGCGGGGAGGGGAAGCGACCGCATCTGTGGCCGGCGCACGGGGGTGGAGAAGAGAGCGCGGGGTGAAGGAGAAGGGAGGGGAAGCGATGGCAGGCCCGCGGTGCAGCTCGCGCGCGCGCGTGCACGGGGGCGGAGAAGCGAGCGCGGGCCGCAGGGGCGAAGGAGAAGGTAGGGGAAGCGCCGCATCCGGTGCGGCATAGCCTGTGAGCGATGCGGATGGGGTAGGAGAAACCTGGAAAGAGAAGCGCATTGGGCTTCACGCATCTGCGACCGTTCAGATTAGATCTAACGGCTGATAATTAAATGGTGATGTGGCTTAACCACAGATCAGCTTTGGGTCTTAACTATATAGAAAGAAGGGATACTTATTTCAGGAAGACAGACAGAATACATATTTCTTAATTCCGAAGGCATTCAGAATGTTTATTAAAGATCATTACTGCTGTTTTTAGGAAACATATTACATCAGCGTTGTCACGTTTATGAGCTGACATAGAGTGATGGTGTTCATGGTTTCAAACGATAATATATATATATATATATATATATATATATATATATATATATATATATATATATATATATATAGGAGCATGTAAGGCAAATAACAGGGATTTTGGCCAAACTGACAAACCAAGGAAAGAGATAAAGGTTTCTTGAATATTATAAAAATACAATAACACCGTAGCATTAGCACGGGCATATTACTAGTTTTATAAAATTGTAACCATGCCATCGCCGTCACGTTTTCCATCTTCTTCCCCATCTGCACGTGGGGCCCACCCGTCAGATTCATCTTCTTCCTCCATCCTCTCCTCTTTTCTTTTTTTCCCACTTCTCTCCACCATGTTCATGATGTTCGCCGTCGCGCCGGGGAACGGGTTGCCGGCACGGAGGTTGTTGTCGGCGTCCGTCACCCTGTGCACCACCTTGTGCGTCGGCTTGCCGTGCTCGTCCACGCCATTCTCTGCAAAGATTTCACATTTCTCACTGTCAATTTGACAAATGAACTCATCCAATCTAGGGACAACATCTGTTTGGATTTAACAAGAATGGACCAACCAAGATCGAAGTAGTCGGCGGCTCGACGCCACGGGGGAGGGCCTCACGGCCGAGGCAATGCGGAGGCCGTCACGCCACATGTCGGGGTCCCTGACCGCCGACACGTTGCCGCCGCCATTCGTCTTGAGTCTCTTGACAAACTGCGCCACCGAGTAGCACGAGATGGCGAGGACTTGACAGACTGCACCACCGAGTAGCAGGAGGCCGAGGAGAGAAGTGGTGTCCGCCACAGGCCCACGTGCATGGGATGAGGCCAAGAAGTGGTGGAGAGAGATGGAAAAAAAAAGAGAAAAGGGAAAGGATGAAGGATGATGATGAATCTGACGGGTAGGCTCCACATGTAGATGAGGAAGAAGATGAAAAATGTGGCGGTGATGGCATGGTTTCAATTTTATAAAATTTGAGTGGCACAACTAAAAATAGACGAATTGTAATGGCATTTATTTGAATAGACATATTTGCAATGATATAGATCAAATTAACCCTATTTTTTTTTATGTTACCCAATCACTAATACTGTAAATCTAGGAAATCCGTGGTAGCGTGAAATACTTCCTCCGATTTTTAATATATGCTGTTAATATATGAAAACGTTGACTTTTATACATATATTTAACCATTTGTCTTATTCAATTTTTTCATACAAAATATAGGTCATGCTTAAATTTTTTAATGATAAATCAAGTCAAAAGAAAATAAATTATATTTATTTTTTTTCAATATTATGACGAAATATCTTAAGAAGTCAATAACATCATATATTAAAAAGCTGAGGGATTACCATTTTTGGTCCAGGACAACACAGTGCCATGGCATCTTCCTATCTGTGCTGGTAAACTAAAATTACGAACTCAATTAGAAATCACAATCCTATCTGTGGAATGTGCTGTCACTGTTCAATTAGCAAAAGTTTCCTTGGTGATTCTTCAGTAATGATGTAGGGTATCAATGATACAGAACAGAAGGCATATAAAGTCATGCACTTATGTAACTTGATGAATGATCTGAAGATAATTGACTAGAGATTGAGCTGAATGAAGCAAACTTTTGGTTACACAATGTCAGGATTCCTATTAGTTAGATTCTCAGCCCAAAACTCTGAATATTTTTTAGGAGTCTGGGTGAATTTGGCCCCCGGATCCTGACAAAAGGTATCAGAGCTACTCGGTTCTTGGCCAGATCCATCGAATTTGGAGGTCCTTCGTTGGTGAGGGTTTGAGGACGAGTTCCTCTGTAAAATTCCATAGCCAGATCCTTGAGTCCGATTCGGGGATCAACTACTTTAAGTGGTAGCAGGGAGGGTTGGAAGAAGCCGTAGGTAGTTTTCTTCTGTAAAATCTCTGTACCTGTTGTTGCTGCTCATGGCGAGGGGTGGCCGTCAGATGGAAATCGCGGTAGAGGAATTGAGAGTGAATTTTGAGGAGTTTCAGAAGAAGGTTGGGGAAGAGAATAAGATGCTGCAAGAGCAGATTCAGAATCAGGCAGTGCAGGCTAAGAATCACAAGGACGAAGTGATGCAAAATCTGGAGGTGATACAAGATATTTTGGGATCTATCATCGGTTGTCAAGGGCAAGATGGTCGAGGTAACACTCTGTCGCCCGGGAAATGCTCAGTCGGTGGCCCCTGCAAGAAGAGCAAAATGTAAAGCTATGACTCCCCCAAATTCTTCAGCTTTTGATTTCATAGGAGTTCCCTGCCCGATGCCTAATTTTGAAATGGGAGAAACATATGCCATACACGCTCACAAAACCATTCCAACTCAATCACCACCACCCCCCACAATTCATGTATGTACTCAGAATACCTACCCAAATCTGGAGTGGAACACTTCAGTTTACTTTGGAACACCACCTATACCTCCACCTCCACCTCCACAGTATAGAACTGGCCAATTGATGACCAATGGACAAAACCCTACCTTACCACCATATTTCTACCCTCCCTATCAATCTCCTTGGGGTTATCAACCAAGTCCACCACCTCCACCCCCACCCTCCTTTGATTTCCACCGACCTCTTGATCGTGGACCACCATTCTGGCACAGACAGGAGGAGACTCGTTATGATTCTGTTGATCACAGTTACAGAAAAAGACCTCAATATGGTGACCCTTTTAATCGTAATCATAAGCATGTGGATTTTCCGGTGTTTGATGGGGATCACCCTGAGTCTTGGATCTGAAAGGCCAACAAATACTTTTCTCTGGCCCGTACCCCTGAAGAAGATGAAGTGCCTTTGGCTAAAGTGTACATCATTGGCAAAGCAGATCAGTGGATCTCAAGTTATGATATTCCTACCGATACTCTTTCTTGGCCTGAATTTTGCACCATGTTGTGCCAGCGGTTTGCAGTTAAGTCAGTATGGCTCAGTAGACAATTACATTGACAAGTTTGAAGAAATTATGCCTCTTGTCAAACACAATAAACCCCATCTCAATGAAGAATACTTCTTGGAATACTTCATCTTAGGACTGAAGGATCATATCAAAAGACCTCTCAAGTCTTTGAAGATGCAAGCTTATGAACATGCTCACAATTATGACAGCCCCACCTTCTCTTCTATACAGCCAGCTGGCACTGCTCATTCTTACCCTAAAGTGGCTCTTAAGGATTCCCCTATGCAACCTGTCAAGAAGGAACCAATGCAAACAGACGCAAATCTCTTCCTGTTGTCCAAACCAGAGGAGGGGGCAAATGCTTCAAATGCCAGGAGCCGTGGGTCCCTGGTCATGGAAGAGTGTGTAAAGTAAACTAACAACTTTACTTGGTTACCATGGAGGAGGATGACCTACCAGTTGAATATTCAGGTGATGTTATTTACACTACTCCTGACAGTCCTACTGAACCTCAACCTTCTCCTGAAGTGTCGCTGCATGCTTTGAATGGTCTAAATGCTGGTATAACTACCTTCACCTTGCAAGTTAAAATTGGCTCTCTCCTTGCTACTGCACTGGTTGATAGTGGCAGTACTACGATATTCATGTCTCCCAAAGTGAAGGTAAGAGTTGCTTGTGTAAAAGCAATTTCTTCTATTTGACTTATCTAGCCGTGTCTTGTCTTGCACATACTCGGCTCAGTGAATGGTTCATCGGTGCACAAGGCAAATTTGGAAATCTCCAACCATCCTCCAATTTCAGTAACAATGGCTAATGGAGGCACATTGTCCACTGGAGTCTGTAGCTCAGTGTGTCCTTCAACCATATGAAATTCAAGGAACTGTTTCTGTCACATCTTTTCGCATTTTGGATATCAAGGGTTATGCCATTATTTTTTGTTGTGATTGGATTTATCAAGGGTTAATTGGATCCATGCCATTACATATTTACCAATTTTGAAAAATACCATTACTATTTATCTATTTGAAGCCATGCCATTGTAATTCAATAGTTATTTGATAATATATGCCACTACTTACCCCTTCAATACATTTTCTGTTTTTTCTTGACCAAATTACCCCTATCTTCTTCATTCATCCCCTTCCCACTCTCTCATGTCATCCTCTTCACCATTGGGGGGAATTTAACTATTTGCCACTTTTAGGTTTGGCACTTATCCAAATGCCCCTTTTAGTTTCGCGCTTAATAATTTACCACCGGAGAGAGGTGATTTCTTAACTATTTGCCATTTTTACCAACGTGGCATGCCATCGTGGCGTTCCCGCGTGGAAAACAACGTGGACCCCACCCGCCAGCCCCTTTCCTCTCCTTCTTATCCACCTCCGGCCCGAGCAGGTGCCGCGCCAACGCGCCGTGGTGAGGAATCCAACGACGATGGGCGGGAGCGGCGCAACGAGGCTGCTGCACGCGAGGACGTGGGTGAGCACGACCGCCGAGAGGCCATTCCGACGGAGGCCGTCGAAGGCGAGGCCGCGGCAGCGAGGTAGGACAATGAGCATTGTGGCCGTCGGTGGCGAGGCCGAAGTTGCACATGCTGAGCTCCCACATGACGCGGTGGACCCGGGTGTTGTCGACGGCGAGCCCGACCTGGAGCGGCTTGAGCTCATCGAGACGTCGACGGGGCATACCTCGACACTGTTGATGACTGGAGCCGGTAGCATCATGGGCATGCCGCCGTAGAAATACACATGTCCTCGCGCTCACCCACGTCCTCGCGTGCAGCGGCCTCATCGCACCGCTCCCGCCCATCGTCGTCGTATTCCTCGCCATGGCGCGTCGGCGCGGCACCTGCTCGGGCCGGAGGTAGAGAAGAAGAGAGGAAAGGGGCTGACGGGTGGGGTCCATATTGTTTTCCACGCGTGCACACCACGATGGCATGCCACGTAGGCAAAAGTGGCAAATAGTTAAGAAATCACCTCTCTCCAGTGGCAAATTATTAAGTGCAAACCTAAGAGGGGCATTTGGATAAGTGCCTAACCTAAAAGTGGCAAATAGTTAAATTTCCCCACCATTGGAGCTAGATCTGAGTATGTGGTGGCAGTGGAAGAGGCAACAGGAACCGGGATGGGGGTGAAGAGCAACACGTCGAGCAATCTGTGGGATGGCGCACAGAGATGCAGATGGGGTGATGTTCTCCCAGCGGGAGGAGGTGATGCAGTGCAGGCGCAGCAACTAGTCATGAGGTTTCTACGGTTTTTTTAGACTGGTCACCGGGGGGGAGAGCTTCCCCACCTGAATTTTCATTTAAAGGAAGATCGAATACATAAAGTCATGATACATTTGAACGGAGAGGAGAAGAGAGAATTTGTTTCCAGGACTCCACTACTATCCTGTCGGTACAATTCAGTCTTTCAGCCCAGAGAGTGGCATCCTCTATGCACTTAGAAGCTAAACGATTAAGTGAAGGGGATTCCCCTCTGAAAACAACATCATGGCGATGATTCCATAGTCCCCATAGGCAGAGCAGGAAGAAGGTGCTGAAGTGTTTATCTGGCAGACTACCGCTTGGTTGTAGAGAGTGAAGTTCCCTGGTATCACTGATGTTTGGGACAATTCCAATCTTCAGCCAGAAATCAACAGCGAAGGGGCAAAGGAAGCATAGCCGTTTCTTCAGTCAGGTGACAGAGATCACAAGATGCCGATTGCACAATACTCCCTCCATATTTTAATATATGACGCAGTTAACTTTTTAATCAACGTTTGACCATTCGTCTTATTCAAAAAATTTATGTAATTATCATTTATTTTATTGTGGCTTGATTTATTATCAAATATTCTTTAAGTATAACATAAATATTTTTATATTTAAACAAAAAATTTGAATAAGACGAATGGTCAAACGTTGTTCGAAGAGTCAACGGTGTCATACATTAAAATACGGAGGGAGTATCTTTTTGAGAAGATTACCTTTCGTTGGGAGTCTTTCCTTTGACAGAAGCCAAGCAAAGAACTGCACCTTTGGCAGGGCCCGGATCTTCCACACAAAAGTCCAATTAGGGCTTGATAAATGTCTTTTGTGCGCAAGATCCCCCTTGAACTCGTGGGGTTTCTACGGTTGATCGATATTGGAGCTTGAGAGGATGATAGGATAGACAGAGACGACGGATCAGCAATCAAAAGAATCTGGAGGGAAACTTTCTGGCTAGCTAGCTAGTGGCACCAGCCATGGATATCATTTCAGGATTTGGGCGGTTGCATTGCACAAGACAAGATGGTTTGTCGCATCCTTTCTGCTGCACCCCACCCCTGGTCTGTTCCTGCTTCATCCTCCCACTGCCACCACTGGCGCCACCTGCTTCGAGCTTTAGCTTTATGGCACCGACCATCAGATCCAGCTTCGGTGGAGAAGATGAACAGTAGAAAGATGGAAATTGAAAGGACCTTAATGTCGCCTAGAGGGGGGGTGAATAGGCGTTCCTAAAAATTATCACAACTTCATAGCATATTAGAATGATGAGAACTTTCGGTTCAAATAGTAACTTCCGATATGAGATTGGAAGTTCCGGTCTCAACCGAAAAGTTCGGCGGATAATGAAATAAAACACTAGCTATGAACTTGTAGCTCAAATAAAGAAAATGTATATGAATCAAAAGGTGACAAATAAGGTATCTAAACAAGATATAAGGTCACCAACTAAATCAATTAAGCATGCAAGTCGATCGGGTAAAAACAAGCTCAAACACAATATGAGAGAATGCACAAATGGGCAAACCAAGAGAGGAGACGCGTGATTTGTTTCCCGAAGTTCGGTTCCACGGATCCTACGTCTCCGTTGAGGAGCCACAAGGGCCGGGCCTATTTCAACCCTTTCCTCACGAGGTTGCACAAATGCACTCCTTGGTTTCACTCTTGATTTCTTTCCGTGCAGAGGTGAAATCGAAGCTTTCACAAACTTTCCGTGGCACACCACAACCTTAGGTGCTCACCGGCGACGCCTAGCCGTCTAGGAGACCTTAGTCCCCAAGAGTAACAAACACAATCGAAGATTTGCTTGCTATGAACTCGAGTGCTCAAAGTATGGAGTGAAGCTCACTAGCTCTGAACTTCTCAATCACTCAATCCAACTCTTTCCCCTTCTCAAATCCCTCTCACAAAGAGTCACCACAAAGGATGGAGTGAAGCTCACTAGCTCTCAACTCCTCACTCTCTCAATCAAACTCTCTTCCCTTCTCAAATCCTCCTCACAAAGAGGCACCACAAAGGTAGGGAAATAGGGATGGCTATTGGGCTTTGGATGTGTCTAATACTCCCCAAGAGCAGCAGCCCCTCAAAGGAGGGGTGGAGGAGTTTATATACCCGAGCCCCTCAAAAACTAACCGTTGGAGGCCAAGACTGTAATTTTCGGAGTTTCCGAAAAGCATTTTCGGACAAGTTTGAAAACTTACTGAAGCAAATCTCAGATTCACAGCCATTTTCGGAATGTCCGAAAATTTTCGGAGAAATTTTCGGAGTTTCCGGTAATTTTTCGGACTTTCCGAAAAGCACAGAGTAAAACGACTATAACTTTTCGCTCGGGAGTCCGTTTTTTATGAACTTGGACTCTATGGAAAGCTCACTCAGAGGACTACCAAACTCAACCAAAAACAAGGTCTAAAACCACTCAAAGAATAGGTTAAAGGTTGGGTTTCTCTCAAGGTAGCACTATGATAGGTCACTTTGAGCACCGAGACATACACAAACATCTCGACGTAGCATCCCTCTTAATAGTACGGCATTCCTAAACTCAAATGTAAATAAGAAGATAATTATACCATTAGGAATGCCTTTTTTTCATCTTTCTTTCATTGTCTTGAGGGACGCCAATGCCGATACCGTTTCACCATATATTCTTCAAATGATTGATGCGGTTACTTGTAGCTTCAAATGGTCTCTCACGGTCCATCATGACAAAGCCGTCACTTGCCCTTCACCACCGGATTTGGTTCTTCGGCGCCAAGCCCCCTTGCTTGCCCTTCACCGCCGCATGGTCCATCGCGACCGAGCATCGCTTGCCCTTCACCATCTTGCTATAATAGCCACTTCGTATCACACATCTTCAATATCTTCACTTTGTCATTCTTGGTATTATTAGGTGTAATGATATCACTTGAGCATCAACACCTTTGTAATCCTTGGGACCTATTTCTTTCATTCAACTCAATAAAATTATTAGTCCCAATGATCCGGTTGTCAACCTCCACATGTTGACCAACCGATCGCATGTATAAAAGGATATGAATAAATGATGAGTATTAATCAACACCACAAGTGTCATATACTCAAATATATGTTCAAATGTAAAGATCCCAATTAAATGAAGGTGAATAACTTGGATCGATTACATGCATAACTAAAGTATAGGATTTGCTCCCCCTAAATGTATGCATACAAAATATTTGTGTGAAGCAAGTATATGCATAACAAGATATTAAACATTGAGAGCTTATCCTATACAAGAATAGAAGGCATTTCTCAAATATAGATACTAAAAAAATACCTTCATCATCTCCACGTTCTCAATGTAAATAGACTAAATAAGAGATAATACTCAAACAAAACATTAGTCACACATGCATATGCCAATCACGTGGAAATATTATATACGATCATATCAATATGTACATGAAGAGAAAGAGTGATACATATAGCTTGATCTCCATGCATTTCATCCTTGTGATTTAGGTCCACCAACACTCCACTTTCATATCCACATGAGACTAGGCAAAGAAATGCTTATAAAAACATTAGTCTCACATAATTGGATTTGTTATTAATCATCAAACCAAATCAATGGCACTTGAACTTTCAGAAATGAAGGATGAAAAAGGGTAATTTGGTCCAAAAAATTTACAATATGTTTTGAACGGGTAAGTAGTGGCATATACTGACTAACTATATAATTACAATGGCACGATTCCAAATAGATGAATAGTAATGGTATTTTTCAAAAAATGATAAAATTATAATGACATGGATCCAATGACTTAAATTTGAAAATATACTGTTCATATTTTTTTCTCATAAATAGTCTTGATATAAACTTCTTGGCACAAATATACCACCGGTATCGCTAAACCATTGCGTGAAACTGACGTGGGCTGACGACACGGGCGGTCTCGCATGAAGAGGATGCGAGACCGAGCAGTCTCGCATGGTGAGTGTGCGAGAGCGTTTTGAAAATTGAATGATTAACGATTAATTAATAATAATTAGTGATCAA